TACTGATAGCAAGCTCTGAGTAACTCGAAGAATTTTCTTTTTCTAAGTTTTTGCTATGTTCAAGGAGAGTATCATGTAACTATTTTGACTTGGGGTCACAAAAAAATAATCCAAATTCATTAAGATTACTGGTTTTAGAGTTAGATATTAGTAGAATTCTAATCCTGGCTCCATAACTTACTATCTGTGTTAATTTGGGTAAGTTACCAAATTTAAGCCTCAATTTTCTGATCTGACAAGTAAAAATAGTGTGGTGTTGTTTTTTTTTTTTTTTTTTTACAATAATGTAAATATGGCGTGCAGTAGTTGCTTAATGAGTGAAGCAGGTACATCATTAATAATCTTATCTAGGACTTATGTTTTTCTGTGCATTTCCATATTTTTTGACTCTTTATTACCTTCTCACTGGAGTAAAAAAACCTAGTTCCACTCTTTGCAACTCATAAAATCTTGGGACTACCTTTCCTACATTACTGTGCCTCAGTATTTATTGAGAACCTACTGTATTCCAGGAACTGTTTTTTTTTGCAATGGGTCTCTAGTAGTGAGTCACACAGACCAAGTCTACTTGTGCTTTTCATTTTCATATCCCCAGGACTCTGCAAAGACCATTCCTGCCATGCCATGTAAATGCGCCCTGCTTACCTTTGCTTATGGAATACCACCCATTCTCCAAGGTCCAGCAGGAATGTCCCATCTTTAGATCTTCTTTGACATGCATCCCTCCAGATATAATAAACTTACCCTTTTCTGAAATACGCTCAAATATTTTTCTTTTTTTGCAATTCATCTCATACTGTGTTGTGTCTTCTCATCTCACTTGCGAGGTTTTGAGGTCCTGGAGGACAGGGACTGTGGCATACCTATTTATATTCTACAGGATCCTGAGCACACTGCCTCACTCAATAAGCGTATGTTCAAGGAATACATTAGCTGCAATCTCCCTCTCTTCAAAAGTGATTATTTATCACTAAGGTACACCAATAAAGTAATAAACTCTATATCCCGGCTGAGTAGTCTCCAAGAATACAAAGTAATTGCCATGCGTGCAACTAATTTCTCTTTCTCTCTCCTGCAGTTATTACGTTAAGGGCCTGGCATAGGGAATGGGAGTGCCAAGTCATAGGGCACAGTCTTTTCTCTGCAGCTGTTTACTGTCTTTGAGACTGACACAAATGAAAGTGATTACAATGTAAAATGAAATAAATTTTAGCTAAGAACTTATATGAAAAAGATATCCCAAATAGAGAAATTACTGACCTATGGGTTTATACTTTTGTGAAATATTCTTTATGAAACCTTAAAGATCAAGGTAGTAGTTTCCATCCTGATATCTCCCTGAACCTTAGTGTAGTAAATATAATGATGGGTTTTCTTGAGCAAGTCTCAAAATTATAGAAATCTTGTAGAAATCACCTACTTATTCTCATAAAGCTATTCAGGCTGCCTGGTACCCAGCTTGTTTGATTGGGGCTGGGATTTTGAATCGTAAGTGAGTATGTTACCATTGTAAATAATATATACTTGGTGAAAAATGTTTGGGATTCAGTGTGTGTTGGGAGGGGGAGGGGTATTTAATATTTGCAATGAGTTATCCTGCGTTAAGAGGTGTGATCCTTGTTATAAGCCACACATAGTTGGTGCCATGCATGTTGGCTACAAGATGACAGTTGGAGAGCCCATCTGTCTATGAAGTGTTATGAAATAGGAATTTTTAAAATGTAGCTTTGGAAAGAAAAGGCCAGTTAAATACAGAAGAGTGCAAATACTCTGGAGAATTTAAAATGTTCAAGTGGGCAACACAAGCATATTTTTAAAAAGTAATTAAATTACACAGGATAATAATAATAGAGGGTTCAGCGATATATAGCTTTTATATGTTGAATATATTTCTAGGTTTTATTTCCTGTTAGCACTCTGCTCCAGCTGAACCGAGACAGGAAAACGGGTATATTCTTTATGATTAGAAAGGATTCTGTTGCCATTAGCCCATACTAAATTGATAGTTTTTATAGCTCGACAAGAGACCAAGTCATCATTACCTGGAGGGAAATATCTAAATCATCTGAAGATGGCTGTTCTGTTCTGAAGGAAAGTTTGAGATGACTGCTTGAGTGCCAAAGTCTCACTCCTCAAGTGGTTTTGCTGTAGAATTGATTGTTCCCCCGTTGGGGTGGGTATATATTACATTGGGGAGCTTGTGAAGGAAATTCTAGAGGCAGAGCTGATAAGTTCTAAAGGGAATTCTGATTTGGTCCCCAGACTGAATGATAGATGCTTATATCTTAGGGATCTATGCAAGTACTCAGAAGATAGGAAGAAGCAAGAGAAAGAGCAAAGAGTACAAGATATGGGAGAAACATATATCAGAAGAGGCACGGAACTCTATGGCTTGGCCAGCTTATCTTCTGTTGAGTTGAGAATATTAATTTTGGGAGCAATTTTGGTGATGACTGAAAAATTTTATAATATTTCTTTAATGATGATGCATGGTGCCTGAGTATTATATTGCATTAAAATCCCAGAATTCTAGAAAACACTTTTAGTAACAATGGAAATGCCTAGACAGATGAGTCTATATATGGTTGATACGATGCTCTTATAAAAAATGAGACACCTGCCCTAGCTGGTTTGGCTCAGTGGATAGAGCGTCGGCCTGTGGACTGAAGGGTCCCAGGTTCGATTCCGGTCAAGGGCACATGCCCGGGTTGTGGGCTTGATCCCCAGTAGGGGATGTGCAGGAGGCAGCCGATCAATGATTCTCTCTCATCATTGATGTTTCTATCTCTCTCTCCCTCTCCCTTCCTCTCTGAAATCAATAAAAATAAAAATAAAATTAAAAAAAAATGAGACACCTGGTAAGAATGAGTTACTGGAGAGTGAATTTGTAATGCCTATGCATTCGATGTATCTATACTAATAAAAGACAAACATGATCATACCTTTGCTATGCCTTAAGACAGGTGCACCAGCCAATCAGAGCGACTATATGCAAATTAACCCAACCAAGATGGCGGCTGGCAGCCACGGAGCTGGAGCAAGCAGGAGGCTTGGTTGCCCCAGTGATGGAGGAAGCCAAGCTTCCCGCCTGCTGTGGCCGGCTCTGAGCTCCACTTAAGGCAACAAAGTTTCAATTATAGAAGATAAATAAACCCCAGAATAAAAAAAGAAAAAAGAAAAAAGGAAAGGCTGGGAGCTTCCGTCACTGGGGGCTTGGCCAGCCTGAAAACGGCCCTCAGCCCCTCACCCAGGCTGGGCAGGCACCCCAGTGGGGACCCCTACCCTGAAGGGGGTGTGACCAGCCTGCAAACAGCCATCAGCCCCTCACTGAGGCTGGCCAGGGACCCCAGCGGGACCCCGACCCTGATCCGGGACACCCTTCAGGGAAAACCAGCCAGCCCCCACCCGTGCACCAGGCCTCTATCCTATATAATAAAAGGGTAATATGCAAATTGACCCTAACAGCAGAAAGACTGGGAATGACTGGTCACTATGACACACACTGACCCCCAGGGGGCAGATGCTCAATGCAGGAGCTGTCCCCTGGTGGTCAGTGCACTCCCACAGGGGGAACTCTGCTCAGCCACAAGCCAGGCTGATGGCTGCCAGCATAGCTGTGGTGGTGGGAGCCTCTCCTGCCTCCTCAGCAGCACTAAGGATGTCCGACTGCAGCTTAGGTTTGCTCCCTGCTGGTAAGTGGACATCCCCCAAGGGCTGCCGGGCTGCCAGAGGGATGTCTGACTGCCAGCTTGGGCCCAATCCCCCAGGAAGCGGGCCTAAGTCAGCAGGTGGACATCCTCCGAGGGGTCCCAGACTGCGAGAGGGCATAGGCCGGGCTGAGGAACCCCCCCAAGTGCACAAATTTTTGTGCACCGGTCCTCTAGTAAGTCATAAAAGGATTTTCCCTCTAAAACCAGGCTTTTTTATATTTAAACCTTTGCTGCTTATAATCCCCATGCCATGGTTAAGAACAATTTTGTGCAGATTGAAATACTCTCTTGAAAGCTTATTTGTATTTTGCAAAAAAATTTGTGGTCATCCAGGCTTAACCATCATTATTTGGAATGTTTCATATTGATTACATGTCTACCTTTTTGCACTGATATTGTTCTATAATATTATAATAATTGTTCTCAAGGTGAAGAAGATTCTTAAATTAGTATTTTCCTCTATTACTCTAAATATTTATAGTGATGACATGTTTTACTTGCATATATATATATGGCTACAGCCAGCCTCTAAAAGAAATGGACAGGAAATAAGAATAATTAGTTTTATAAAATACTGATAGCTAACACTCATATCATTGTTACATTTTTTTTAAAACCATATTTTAATTGCCTTACAGATATTACTTCATTTAAGCTCAGAACAGCCATATTAACTTGGGACTGTTATTGCCTACACTTTACAAGTGAGAAAAGTGAGGAACATAGAGGTTAAATATTTTTTTTCCTGAGTTAATATGACAAGTAGGTGTCAGAGCCAGGAGTTGAAACCAAACAATCTGATTGCTTGGTATTTATGCTCTCTACTTCTATAGCTAAACTATTCTTGCTTGAGCCAGGGTTAGAGTGAGTAAGTAGCTATGTTACTTGAATGTTATAGTTTAATATGATTATTTATTAACATGGGCATTCTCCCTTACTGGATTATGAACTTGTAAGTACCAAAGAATCATGTTTTATTAACTCTGTCATACATTGTGCTTAATAAAATTTTTATTACTCCTGAATTACAGCTTATTATTGCCCTGAGATATTGTGTCCAGAAGATTTCTATTTTGAAGTCATTTGTCTTTGATTCACAAAGCAAAAAATGCAATTGTTACCAATAAGAGGAATACTGTATTCATGATTTTCTTATTTCTTAACTATTGTTAAGAATAAAGTAGCATGAGTGAGTCAAACTATATTTGTTTAATGTAGGATACTTTTAGAATAATGTTACTTGGTTGAAATTCTTTTCTTTTCTTTTTTTAAAATACTCTTTTCCCGCAGGGTGCTGCTTTAATTAGAATGCTGGCAAATTTTATGGGCCATTCAGTATTTCAGAGGGGTTTGCAAGTAAGTAAAATGCTTCCTATTTTCTCTTATCTTTTTCCTGTCCTCATATTTATTTTAAAGATTTCTCACAGCTTGAAAAATTGCCAATACAAAATTGCTGAATTTGATGAAAACCTTTAGAATGAGTAAGGTAAGCAGTATCTTCCCATATGACAAATGAAAGGTAAGATACTCACTATACCAACCGATAAAACTCAAACTGTTATACCATTTAGAATCTCTTTACTACACATTTTAAAATTGAAGTAATTTTCAAATATATCAGATCCTAAATAATCTACAAAAGATTTTTGAGTCTGCTTCCTTTTTCTTCCATTTAAAATTTTATATACAGTGAAAACAAACTATGTTAGCCTTACAAAATATGTATTTGAGAAAATCAATTTCATTTTTCAAATATGTGCCTTTTATGTTATTTTATTGTTGACATGTGTAGATTGCTATTTGTTCCAAAGTTATTTAAATTAGAAAATACAATATTTTAAATAAAGGGGAAAAATAAACAGTTTTATCTTACTGCATTTGGACTATGAAATACAGAATCTAACAGTGGATTCTTAGAAAAGAAAGATTCTTAACTCTTAAAAGCAAACACAAACATATAAAAATGTAACTTTTATTCCATTGCTTCTATTGAAGTAAACCATGTTCCTAGCAGCTGTGATTGATGAATTATTTATGATGCATTCTGCTACTTAGAAGTGTCCTTTAAAGTAAATTGATGTTCACCTGAAATACAATTATGCCAAGACAGAGAGAGCAATCAATCTTATCTGTTCTTAGTAAGCTTTTCATTTTGAAATTTAAATAAACTACATGTGGGATCAGGTCATATTTTAGTAGTCTAATTCTATCTTTACCCAAAATAAACTAAAAAAGAAAAATACAAGGCAAGAGTTAAACAAGTTATGACAAAGCTACATATACTTTATACAACAAAGAAAAAAGTATACATTTCTTGAAGAATAATTTTCCTTAGAAAATATTTTTACAGATTTGCTCCAGCAGAGGTTGAAATTTACTTTAATCAGCTCTTTCTATTAGGGGCACCTTTAGAATAGCTGAGTTCCATTGAAGCTACTGACCGGGTGCTAAAGTCTCTATTCTAATCACATAGTTAGAAAATCCTTTTTCTCAAGGAGTGCCCTCCATGAATATAAACTTTCTGGACAGATGTCCTTCCTTATCCCCACTCTTTTGTTTTTCCCCATTGAAGTTGTAGCATGGCAGTTCCAGAAAATATCTAAGCTTTCTTAAGGCAACATAAATCAAATTGGATTTCCTGGTAGCAAGTTGATGTGAAATCATTTTCTGTATACAATTTTTATTGTTTCTCCTCATCTGTGTGTATGGATTTCTTTGGTAGATTGAATAACTATAGTTATATTATTTGGAAAGGATTATTGTCTTGCAGCATTTTTCTTTATCCTGTCTTGCTTTCTATGGTATGCAAAATACATCAATTTTTAATTCACCCAATCCTAGTGACCCAGGCTGTTCAGTTTTATCTGAAACAGACTATTTGCCCTCTGACTCCCATATATTAAACTTCCATTTGAAGCTTGTGTTAATGTGTACCTTTATGCTCTGATACTTGATTTGGTTAATTTTCAACGGAGGGACTCTATGCTTGTCAACATTGCATTTCATTCGCCTTGTGACATCTCATTGATCAGATGGATCTGTATCCTTCAGTACTTCCTTGCAGCTTTATTTATACTCATCACTCAAGCTGATTTAGTGTATCATCAGCAGTTGGATTAGTTTACAGTGGATCCCTATGTCTAGGTGATAAATTATCATCTCTTGTGCATGAAGATGTATGGGATACATTTTGGAAATGACCTCCTGAACAGACACTTTATGTCATGGTGCTGAGTGGTCACAGAGTTGATATTAATATATTTCCCATCCACAGTCTCTAGGGAGTCTTGGTTTTATAGTCTTGTTGAAAGAGCTAATCTGGACTGTCAGTGCTTACCTCTGCTGGAAAATCTATTAATTGTCTTTACATTAACATGTCCGTTTCTGTGTTGACAAATGGAAGTTTATATTTGCAAACAGACTCAGGTTAGATTTACAAGTGTAAGCAATTCCAAATATTATGCCTTATTATATATTTTTCTTTCTTCCTCCTTCTTTCCTTCCCTTTATTATTATCCATCCTTCTCCTTCTTGTCCTCCTCCTTCTTCTTCCTCTTCTTTGTCTTCTTCTTTCTTCTCTGTACTTGGTCCTTAGCCCTCGTACTTCACACAGGAACAATAATAATGGTGTGTTTTTTTCTCCTAAACTTTTTGTTATCTTACAAGTTTTGTATGCTTTTGACTAATGCTCTTTTGGGAACAAGGCAAAATTTTTTTACTAATGCAAACACAGAAAAATTATTTATGATAAATATATAGGGTATCCCCAAAATGCATACACACTCTAATAGCTGATAACTCACTTAATTTTGAAAATGAACTGTATGTTAATAAACACTGACTTCATAATCATTCAAAGTGTGTATACATTTTGGGGGACATTCTGCATAATAAATATACATAATAAATGTAATATTTTATATATTAAATATAATAAAAATAATATACAGAAGTAGTAGCTTTTCAGGTCAGTTCACATGCTCATATTTAATCACCAAAGTATCTGTGTATAGATTAAACTATATTTTTCTAACTTTTGTAATATTTTATATTGGAAAATATATTTTAATTTTCAGATCACACATATATTTCTCAGTAGGAAGGGACTCAGAGACTTTTTGAAAAATGTTTTGCTCCTAATAGCTGCATAATCCATTGGGTCAGCTATTAGTAAGTCTAAAAAACAGTGTTATACTGAATAACCACAATTTTCTTTAGTCTGGTCTTCTTGATACATTTTTGTCTAATTCCCCTTGCTTCTTGAATTTTGTCTGATGCTTAAATCGTTCAGTCTTGTGGAATTTTTTTTTTTAAATAAATTACCTCAAAATATTTTTTAAATAGTGTATACATACATAAAAGTTTTATCCTGGCTACCATTAGTAAATTAGCTTCTGTTTTGATGTTTAAATTGGAAGTGAGGTGTAGAACCTACCAAGCTTGAAACTTTGATTTTGTATGCCACTTGTAAATAATATGTTTTTAAAATATAGAAATGTTTACATTTTTTGTAAACTGCACATATCTACTATCTAAATAATTCATTTCCCAAAATAATAACAGGCACATTTTGGGTGGCAAGAGGCAATGGAATGAGTAGGGACAAGTAACTCTAATTTCTGTTTTTAATTAATGCAGGTTTTCTACAAGTAATTCAAACCTATCTTGGTCTCTGACTTTATAGTTACAAAGTGCAAGAGTTGGACAAAATACTCTTTAATATTTTTCCCACCTTTTAGATTCTCTGAATTTAAGATTTATTTGATACATTTTACTAGTTAGATCATTTAGATTTGATACTTTAATTATGGAAAGTATTTTAATTTGATTGAAAAATTTGTAACTTAGATGTGCAAATCTGAGTGATTCCCTGTTCTTGAATCATAAGTTAATCATCTGAATATTAAAACTATATGGATATATATATATATATATATATATATATATATATATATATAACCCTTGAACAACAGGGATTTGAAATGTGGGAGTCCCTTTTATATACAGATTTAAAAAATACCTGTACCATTTTGATCCATGGTTGGCAGTCCACAGATGTGGAGCGTTGACTGTATGCATTGATCTATGCCATATATAGTGGGCTTGAGCATCCACAGATTTTGGTATCCATGGGGGTCCTGGAACCACCCCCATAGTTACTGAGGGATGACTAAGTTTTGGGGGGAGTTAAAGGTTGCACATGGATTTTGACTCTGAGGGAGTTGGTGTCCCTAACCCCCACATTATTTTAATGGTCAACTATAGCACTATATCTAGTCCAACAAAATCAGCATTTATAATTACTGAGAATTTTTGCTGGTAATATGTTTCTTTTACCAGTATTAAGAAACAACTTATATTTCCTTTGCTTTTTAGTTACTTTTCCTATTTTGTGACACTTTATATTTTGTTACACTTTCATATTTTGCTCTGGGTAATTTACATGTTTGTTATTAAACTATAGTTATTTTCAATGACATTTTCTGAGAACTTACCTTTTGAAGTTTCTCAGTGATTTTCCGCATGTCTGTTGTCCTTACTAAGGTCAGGATTTCTACTTGTGTGCCTGAAATCTGCTGAAACTGATTCTGTTTATGGGTCTGACTACATTGGGGTGGTTAGAGGTTGGTCTGGAGGAGAACCGGCTTCGCCCTTGATGATGTCATTACAGGGGACTTAAATAAGAACAACTGTCTTTTTCAGAGACAAGAGCTGTTTTTGAAGGCAAGGGAAACAGTGGAATTTAGACTTTAAAGGTTTCCATTCTACTTCTTCGTGTCCCACACTTTCTCAATCAATGTCCTAATTTTCACATAAGAGACCTAGTAAAGCCATAAAGTTTGCTGGAGTTCTGATGTTACCACTCAGAATTTCAACCTTAGTTTGCTCTTCAGTTATATTGATTCTAAGGCTAAAGGATTCACAACATCTTTTAGCATAGTTAGAGACCATCTCTGATTCCCTACCAATACCTGCAGCACTGAGATTACTGTATTCTTTTTGTAATCTCTCCAGTCTAGTCAGAAATAACTATTCTTGTTGCAGATTTTTTAATTCTCTATTCTCCTGTGTTGTTATATTGAAATAGTCATTTGTTTTTCCCAAAGCCAATTCTTCAATTTAGGCAACTATAATAATTTAAGAATCTGTCTAGGCCTTGAAAACCATTGATTGCCAGGATTTTATTACCCATTGTCAATGCTTTTACCTCATTTAAATCTAATCAAGACAGGGAAACAATTGTAGATTTTCATCTTGGAGGGTCTGTTTCCTGGAATATACCACTTCTGGTATGTAACACAGTAGACAAACCAAACCAAAACCATGCTAAGTACATCAAGCAGAAAGGTATCTAA